TTAGTTCCTGATTCCTGACAGTTTCTAAATGTCTTCAATCCTGAAGACTCCACAACCTTCTGGGCAACCTGCACACACACTCTGTCACTTTAACAGTTAAAAAAAAAAAAAAAGCTTCTCCTCATGTTTAAACAGCACTTCTGTGTTTCAGTTTGTGCTGGTTGCCTCTCATCCAAGCACTAGACACCACTGAAAAGAGTCTGGCACGTAGTCTTTACATGTTCCCATCCGATATTTACGCACACAGAAAACATTGCTCCTTTGTCTTCTCCAAGTCTAACAGGCCCAACTCTCTCACACTTTTATGTGAGAAATGCTTTAGTCCCTTAATCATTTTAGATGAAAAAACCTTCACTGAACTTGCTCTCTCAAACTATCTCTCTCAAACTAGGTGCCCAGAACTGGATACAGCACTCCAGGTATGGCCTTACCAGAGCTGAATAGAGGGGGAGGATCACCTCCCTCAACCTGCTGGCAATGCTTCTCCTAGCATTTGCCTCCGGCTACCACTGGCCTTCTTGGCCACAAGGGCACATTGCTGGCTCATGGTCACCTTGTTGTCCATCAGAAGTCCTTGCTAAGAGGATACTCTATCCCTTCATCCTGGTCACTGATGAGTAAGTTGAATGATTGGACCCACTATTGGCTCCTGAGGTACTCTTTTAGTCACTGGACTCCAATGATACTTTGCATCACTGGTCACAACCCGCTGAGTTCTGCTGTTGAACTGTTTATCAATCCACCTCATTGTCCGCTCATCTAGCACATGCATGCTAGCGTACACACACACACACACACACATATATATATATACAGTCACACACATACCTTATATGTTTATGTAAAGAATTACACTCTGAAAGAACAATATTAGACAGGTATTAATGTCTTTTTTTTATGCAATGAATATAGAATATTCTACTGCAGGTTTAACAGTGCAAAAATAAATATGGTAATAGGCACAGAAGTTATCATCTCTCCTCAAAGTATGGTTCTCTGGACACAGAGCATAGGCTCATTAGGAGGTAAAAATGACTAATATTAGGAGGCAAAAATGAACAGAAGAATAAGCCTAAGCAGCAGAACACACTGGGAGAAAAGAGCCACAAAGAAAAAAAATCAGTCTTGTCACTGATTTCACAGGGAGATGTAGTATCCTTCAGAAGATTCATTCACTAGAGAATCTCACGCATATCTGGCACCTGAAAATGATAGAATATACTTGCTAAAATATTGTGACATCAGAATAATTTGATTTCTTTCCATGTAAAGGCATTCAGCTAAGATTAAAGTTGAAAAATCACTTTTGCAATTTGGTCAGTAAATATTCCAAATATGAGAATATTAAATAAATAAATATGCATTAGTGAGAATCCACAAGATCTTGTCTGTTTTAGAAAATGGCTTTGATATAGATTCTAAGTGTCCTTCCTATTACTCTCGCAGCTGAGTTAGCAGATTTTGCCATTTTTATTATGTCTGGATATTTCTTGAGAATATGTCCCAAAGTTTACTCTATAATGGTCAAAACTGTAATTGCCTGAAGAAGATCCATGTAATTGATCTTTGTAATTTGGTTTTTTTTTTTTTTTTTTTTTTTTTTTTTTTTTTTTTTTTTGAATAAATGCAAACTGTCTAGCACCAGTACCCATCTGATTTCAATCCTTGATACCAGTCCAACAATCAATCACCAGGGGCATTGGACACCCATAATTAGATTATAAAATCATAACTATAGTCATTTTACGTCCGCTTGCATAATTACATCAGCATGCTAATATCCTTTTAATGGTCTCTAATGATGTAATAAGAAATAATGGAATTTATTTGACAGCTACATAGCCATTAACAAAACATATTAAGCATAACTAGTACTTCCATAAAGATTCAGGCTGAATCCAAAAGTGACAGCTAGCATGTTGGGTATTTTCTGCAATGCTGAAAAATTTCTAATTATGTATTCCCTAGATATATTCCCTCTCATCTGCTTCCTGGGGTGAGTAAAGTTTATGTCAGTGCAAACTTGACAACAAACCAACTGTAGAAGTGGACTGCACCCTCTGGGAGCTAAGCCTGAGGCTATGCTGTGAATTGCAGGCCATCGGTTAAAGTTGGCAGGATTGTGAAAAAGGGAGGATGAGATAAGCTGATTACTGCCAGGCAACAACTAATCAAGAACTAACAGGGGAATTGGTAGGAACCCATACCAAAGCAACTTACTAATTGAGACAAACTCTAAAGAGCAAAAAATAAAAAAAAACCCTAAAAACGTAAAGAACAACAGATATTTGCAGACAAAACTAATCAAAGCTAGTAAAAACGTATCTGTAAAACACTATTTTAATATTACTTTTTGTGACAAAAAGGACAACGAAGAATTATTATTTGATAATTCTGGCATTTCCTTCAAAATAACTCACTACTCACCTTTTCCCCTCAATTCTTCTCACCCTATTCTTACTGAATGTGATGACTTTTTCTATATTTTGAAATTAACCCTGTGTTTTTCATTAGGAGATGTTCGCTCTGAAATCTTTGAAGAAGTCTGGAAAGTTTCAGGCCTGAACTATCACTGTCTTACCATTCAGAATACTTGGAGGGAAAAAGACGTAGAACTGGGACTTTTAAGCCATCCTAATACTCAAGTCAAAGTTCAAATATCATGTTATCATCCCTTTCAAAATCCTCCATCTCAGGCTTCCTGATTTTTTTCCTCCACATAATTTATCCATTCCTGTAAAAGCAATAAGTGTATTCCTAAGGTAAAGAGTACTTTCAGTTGCTAGTTAATAAATAAATAAATAAACCATAATGACTGTAAGACCTCATTGAAGGTTTTGATTGGAAATATCAAAGGTGGATTAGGAATAATCATGAGGTCATGTCCTTCCTGAAACCCCTTGAGGGACTACTCAGCAGCTAACTAAAGCCTTCAAGCTCATACATACTCCATACTCATACTCCAGTGATGACTGTGTGGTGGTGACAGAAGACCAATGCAGAAGACTAGTGCAGAAAAGAATTAATTCTTTGCTTGGTGAGGCCTTTCTCTAAGACTTTTACCCACAACTTTATCTATTAGCTAGATGGACATTTCTGTAGTGTTTTCTGGGCTTTACCTCAGGCAAAGCATCTGATTTTCTTAAATCAAAAATATTTATTACACAAGAATTCTTAACTAATGTAAGATTTGGAATATTCTTTCATTTCTTTTTCACTGACTTACAAATTTTATTTTAAAAAGATTAAAGGTTGTTCTTTTCATAGACAAAGAAGACCCTATCCTGTTTTGAGTTACTATCATTCCTAATACACTGTATTAAAATACTGACTAAAATACAATAGCAATACTTTTGATGCAGTGGCATTGCTGCTCATAACCATTTTGATGCATTCATTGCTGTTCATTAATCGGATGCAAAGTAACCAGCCTCTCTCATGTTGCATATTAAAAACTATATATATACACACAAAAGAAAAATGGTTATTCATAGCTAGCTATATAACCGGAGGGATTCGTTTTCTAATGAAAAGTATCTACAGCCCACCAATTGCAACACTGTTGTGATTTATCACATGATAAAACACAACCAAAAGGGTTTTTCTGCTAACAGTTGGAAAGGTAGGTGAAAGCGCTCTTATACTGTAAATGAATGAAGTTAATGAAGCAGAACTCATTGATTCCAGCAGAGAACTTATTTCATGGGATCCCTTTAAATGTATAGCGGACTTTGATTTATCTGCTAGTATTCAAACTCCAAGCTGGAAATTCTCCTTACAAGGAAGCCCACACATATTGTCTTTTTTTTTTTTTCCAATTTCCAAACTAATTTTTCATATAATAAGTACTTTTCATAAAATAAAAATAAGAACTGTTTAGTAATACAAAGAATAGTTGTCACAAACAAAATGCGAGTGTATTCTCCTTCAAAACGACTAAATTCAAGATGCCTATGTACCTGAGCAGCTCTCAGATTCCTAAAAAGATTTTCTCACTGAATATGCTATATGCAAGTGGTGTAATTTTTTCCAAAAAAGAACAAACACTTCCATCAAAAATGAAACATCTTCAGACTACTGCCTAAAACAGAGCATAAACAATGAATTACATTCACTAGAGCTGAAGATTAAGCCAAAGTTGGTGGCATCCAAAGTAAGACTAAGGAGGAAGCTGAAGTTCAGCAAAAGTGGTGGGACAAAAAAAGCAGCCCCAAATGCTCTCAAAAACAGGCAGCAACTGGATGCCAATTTTTGTGTGCCAAGATATGACTTATTCCTAGCAAGCTGTCAAAACCCTCCCACAGATGACCCTTCTTTTCTATTACTTTTCTATCAGACTATTTTTATTTTCTGTTTCTCAAAGAAAGAAATGAAGTTTTAAATAAAATTTCCTACAAAATGATATCAGGAAAAAAATCTCTATTTCTTTACCAGATATGGAAAATCATAACCTTACAGCCCAGGAGATGAAGACACAAAGCATTCATCAACATGAATCATATGAAGATAAACCATATTTCAACATATTTGAACTCCTTGTGACTTGTTAAATGAGCAGCTGGCCAAGCAGCATGACCCAGTGCGCCACACATCAGCCTGCAAGTGCTGGACCCAGGCTGTGATCAATATCTCACATGTTATCTCCCTCTCAGTAATGCTGGTGTAATAACCCTTTGCAGGATTTGCCATAACTAGACACTATTAGAAAATACGGTAATATTTTTACACCACTGTAAACATACTTATTTCCTCTTTCCTCATGGAAGCATAGGTATATTTCAGTCTTTTTTTAAATGATTTGTTACTAACTATAAATGTATAATAAGTATATATAATTTATATATGTCCCTTATAAAGGTCACGAGGCTATTCTTTTTCTTTTGTACTCTCTCATTAACTTTAGCAGGAAAAGGTAGTTGTTCACTCATAAGATGAACTATTCAAAAACAAGGGGAAATCCAATTAAAAAAAAAAAAAAGGAGCAAATTCCATGTACATACTTGACATCATCGAAGGCACTCATCTGCAGCTTCAGGAGATCTGCCACTTCCTTTATCAACTCCAAGCCCTTTTCCACATTCAGGGGGCTGTTGAAAGGGAGCAAGAAAACAGAGTATTACAAAACTGGAACTCATCAATACTTGAGAGGCTAAAAGTCCCAAAAGAGTTATCACCTTGGTCTCTTTGAGTCTGCAAGCCACCACTAACTGTATTCCTGTCACATAATGATCGTGATATCAAGGGAATTGGGATCAGGTGCTTCTTCAGGCATGATGAATCACCTGAATTTTCCAGCAATAAGACAAACAATAAGGTGTAAATGGAATTGTTAGGAAGTGTAATGGGCCCATGATGCAGCGACCAGTTCATCTCAGTCCCCAATAAAAAATGTAATAAAGTAAAAGGACGGAAAGAGAAAAAGGATTGACGAGACAAGGAGGGAAACAAACAATGAAAGTCAAATTGCAGGGCTCAATATCAAATGGACAAGGGAAAAGCATATTTTTAAATTCATTAGTTTCTAAAATGAATCTTTGCCCAGTGAAAGGATACAAAACTATTATGGATTTGAGAGTAAACAATGGAGCACGGCACACAGTCCAGAGGACACTGATTAGATACACGGGAGTTAGTATGGTGTGAGTATGCACTGCTGACAGAACCCACTTTAAATCTTTTTAATCTTTGTCAATGCCACATTTACATTTTTTTTAATTCAGAAAACAGGTTGTAATCAAGCAAACACAGGAGGATTTCTATTATTTTAAAAAAATCACTTAGATACAAAATTTATATTTATAAAAATTTCAGATAATTAAAGTTGTTACAGCCTAACAGCATATTGTGAACTTTCATTTCCTAACAGATAACACCTTGTTTAACTATTTTGCTGTGCTACGAAGCCAAATAAAAGGTATTAATAAATTAAAAATATAAGGAAATGACAGAATGTCCAGTGAGAAAAACAGATACAAAATTCTTCGTGTGCATTCTGATTGCAGAATTATTCTCAACATTGCTAAGACTCATGCTCACAAAATTAAACTTTAAAAACCATAAATTTACCTAACTTACACCACTGCAAGTCAGACGCAACTTTGATGAAACTAATTCTGGAGAGGGAAAAAGGTTCTATTTTTTTTTTCTTTGGGGATTTATGACAAATAAGAGAAGGAAGTGTCAGAAGAAGGCACATATTGCTGGATGTGATCTTTTCAATGAGACTAAAGGGAAAAAAGATTTTTCGGATTGCGGAATCCTGGACCTAGATCATTATTTCTGCATCACAGTTCAAGGTTTTGAATGTGTTCCTATATCACTGCAATCACTGTCAAAAATTTATTTATTGTCTCCAATGAGCCCTGTGTTTATTTATTTATTTATTTATTGCATTCAGTTCTGCATACGATGCCCGAAGGCCACTTCGATTTAAATAATGGGATACCTCATGTGGACGTTGGTTAGGTCGGAATTGTTCAGCCTTTCTTTGTGCTACTAACACAAAATGCTCCAGAGACCTCCTGTCACACAAGCAGGGGTAGCGCCTCAAGGCACCAGATAAATTTAGAGTTTTTCTAGATATACAACACAGAAATTGTCCTGTGTGAAAGTAATGAAAGAATCTGCTTGTTTCTACAAGGGAAAAAATGTATTATAGATTAATCATAAAAACCCTGTATTTCAGCGACTGACAGTGGGTGGAAATGTGAAGATTCCCAGCACTACGAAAGCAAATTGTCACAGTGACTCAGGGGCTTATGTGTTAATTAAATCTTTTCTCCTGAAGATGCTGGCTTAAGTTTTACAGAAATGATTGGTGTCAGCAAGTGGGCTTTCCCTGTAATAGCAGGGATACACAGAGGTGCCAGGAAGGCTTCTGAGTGCCCTGGTGTCATTTTTCTACCAAAGGGGGTTCATTTGTACAAGCTTAAGTACCGCTCCCCATTTACCCCTCTTCCTATTAAAAAACATGCTCCAAAGTCAAAAATAAGACATATTGTTAAAGGCTGCAGTATTAGTAGTAATGGGAGAAATATTCAGAGCATTTAAATGCCAGAATTCAAGAAGAAAGCCAACACCTTTGGGAGAAAAAGTGTTCCGGGAAGGTCAATCATTTGCAGGTCTGATTGTCCAGTAGTAGTTTCTGCAGCTCTTGTGCAATGGGAAATGAAAATATTTACAAACTTTCACAGCTACTTGGGCAGCTAAAAAGTAGTAAATAACCACAGTATGGAAGAGATGCAAAACCAGTATCTGAGTAACCTCTTTGATGCCAGGACTACTATGGATCATGCTATCAAAGTTGAGATTTCACACTAAAAATGGTAACTGATAGCACTGTATTTCCCAATGCTCTTTCCCATGAATTCTTAGCTTTAATAGATCCTAGTACTGTTACTTAGAGTTCTGTAACACCTGTATTTGTAGGAGAGTTGAATATTCAAAAGCTTTCTCTAAAAATGCATAACATCATCCTCAAAATTGCATTTCTGCTTTATAGCTTGTTCAGTGTTGCATGGTCTGCGTTATACAATGATTGCTTTCACCTCGGTTTATGCCAATCCCAGTAACACGGTGTAACCGCTCCAGTTCTCTACAACTTAGAAGATAAAATGAGAGCCAGAAAGTAGAAGAAATTAATGCATAACTAACTTTCTCCCATTACTTTACCCTCTAATAATATCTCCAACTCAAAGTGCCAGCATAAACATTATGTTTCAGCTAAGACTCTAACCCACACTGAGCCAGTAGCAGAACTCTGCTGCACACAGTTGCCAATCTCTATCTCAAACAATTTGTAAGATGCACGTTGTTTGAAAGGTTAATAACAACAAAGTTATAAATGGAGAAATTAAATATAAATGTTTCCTTTGGGGTTTATGCAGATATATTTAGTTTTTAAATCTGGCACAGTCTTTGATCTCCAAAACGTTTCACTGCTTATTTTATTCAATCTCTTTTAGCTGCACACAACTTTTGCACTAAACTAGTTATACCTGCTAGAGGATATGGCTTTATATTTCTGCTAATGATAGCAAGCATTATGTGGTACTATCCCTTCAGATGAAATGAACTTCCCAGCTCAGGGCAAGACTGATTCAACATCATCACGAAACTGTGAAAACTCTCCCATATGCTTTCACTATGTGAAAAAATAAATGGTTCAACCCATAACTACTTGTCTGAGCTAAAAATATCATCATAATTTAATCAACTCCCTGTAACTCCGTCAGGAGTTTTATCTAACAAAGAAAAGCAGACCTTGGCTGTAGAGCTATTTTATTTAGAAATGAATCTGAAGTGAAACTATGGGAATAAATATCTCTTAACTTTAATGTAAGCTCTTGAGCACTCCTGAAAATTAAGTAATCCATTTAAATGTTGGAAAGTGGATTGGGGGGCCCTAACTTTCTTCACATCATTGTTTGGTAAAATGTCTCCACAAATGTTACTGGGCATAGAATACAGGAAAATTAGATTGCTTGGTGAAAATAATACCCTGTATCTTCCAATATCTAAATCCCTCCCAGTGAGGGGGCTGAAAGCAAATATTGTTAAAGACCAATCCACTTACTGAGGTAATTCAAACAATAGACCTTTGGATTATAAATTTCATCTCTTATTGTCTAGTAAAAACTTCACCTTTGATTGCTCAATTTACTGGAAAAAAATATGGGGGTAAGGAGTGTTTCTACAGTCTGGGTCCAGAATGTTGGCACAATTTGCATCACATTAAGTGATTTCCTTCTCAGGCTATAAAACATACAGAGTTGGCTAGCCAAATTTTAAGTGTCTACACAGTCCCATTGTACTCAGTGGTCTTATACCTAAGTGAGAGAATTGCTGCTGATGATGATAAATGAGGAATGATGAACAGCACACAACTTCATCTGAAGCAGCCCTACTAGGTGCCCTTGGCCAAGTGATCTTCTGACACTGAATGTCACCATCTGTAAAATGAAGACAATGATACCAACTTTCTTTGTTAGGTGGCTAGTAATCTAACTAGACCGATATCATTCCACTTGTAACCCTTCTAGTTATAAGAATAAAGAGTAGCACTATTGGCAGTCCCTAAGGCTATAAATATTTCTCCCTAACAAGAATGGACATTGAAGTAGAAAGAAAATGCATTTTCAGGGACTAAAGCATCCCTCTTTCTCCTACCAAAAACCATTCTGGTTTTAGAGCACATCAACAAGATGTTTCTTAGATCCAGGTGAAGGTAACCTATCCTTCACTGGCAAGTTGGTAAACTTGACTGCTATGGGAAGCAGAGGAGGAAGCAATATGCTGGACAGAACAGTCTAATGAGACAGAATTGCCTCATGCACTGCCCAACAGACCTTCCAAAACAGACCAGTGCCAGATATTGGATCCTGATCTCAAGACCAGTTCAGCTACACCCCATAACAATCTGAACATCACTATGAATGGATGTTGTGTTCCCTCAAAATTCCCAAGTTTAGCTTCTAATATCTGTGGATTGCAAACAAACACGTTGAATAATGGATTGTGTATTTTTGACCTGGATTTATGCATTCCAGGCTAGAAGCTTCTCTTCCTCTGATCAAAGTACAAGAAGGAAACATGTAAATGGAGGAACAGAAGGAGTTCAATAGGGAGCAACACTGACAGCAGGGCCAGCTCTGCATGCTAACACAATATGGAGCCCCAAATCCAATAAAAGCCAGTGGGCAATGTCAAATGAAACAAGAGGAAAAACAGAAGTAAACAATGATAAAAGCTATATGTTCTATATTTCCCAACATGCCTGTCAAAACAATCCCATAAACTGATCCATTTTCGTAGAGAAAAATCGGATCCAGTTATACAGATGGCTTGATTGCTAGCATTTGCCAAGCCTCCTCCTAGTCCAAGGAGAGCAGCATGTAGCTCAGAGTTGTGTTGAGGTTATGTCAGGCTCACAAGCAGTTGCTCTCATTTGTTTTTCTCCTTTCCAGTTGCCACGTATCTTTGGAAACCCACTCAACTGAACTCTCTATCTCCCCCTTAATGCCATCATTCTAATTAGGTATTGTCTTTACTAGCCTGTACCTAGAGCCCTCCGATACTCTGTTTAGCA